TGAAACATTTCATGACGAACGTGATGCAAACAGTCTCCACACCTCAGCCTTGGAAGAGTGCCGATACATTTAGGGGAGACTCTACTTGAAGGGTTAGAAGGGGTGTTCAACGAACACAGCCTACTTGCCTACTTCGTATGAGGCCCTGACCTCTAGGACTCAAAGTCCATTTGGAGAAGGATCCTCCACAACCCTACAGGTTCCGGCTTCCTACCATGTTTGTAAGCATCGGCTCTGTGTGATGAAGATCACATTCAGTTTTCAGAGAAGGGCCTTTCCCATCCCACAGCCCAAATTCTCAGAACAGGGAGGAATCCTCTTCCTTACGCTCAGGGTGATCACTCTCACAGCAACTGTCCTGCAATCCCGGGGTCACTGACCCTGAAAAGACTCATAACCTGCTGAACGGAGCCAGTAAGTCAAAGGCCCTGAGAACAGCAGTAATCAAGACGGAAAGCAAGAAAGTCACCAGCGAGCTCACTGAGCTGCTGCGCTTCCGGAGCAGCTGGCGGAGGGCAGGCTTGTTACTCTGCCCTGCACATCACCGTGGGCCATCCTCTGTGACAATCAACAAAACCAAAAAACCAACAGTGGGGGCTTCTACGAGAAAAAAGGCCTGGGGCTCCCGGGGTCGGGGTCTCCTGCCCCTCCCGACAGGAGATATAGTGAGAAGCGGAGAGGCCGGGAGGTCGTCCTCTCAACAGAGCCTTAGATCCACAGGGACTCTGAGGCCAGAGTTCAGGTCAGTGCCCTCTGTCCTCTGTCGGAAAAAAGCCGGAAGTATGTAGTAAATTATAAAAACGTATTAAAAATGAACATAATTAAAATCTATTCAACATGGTTATCAGGGAAATCCACATTACCAGGAAAAGAGCACTGGGGATTAAACATATTTTAAAACAAGCATTTCCCAACTTTGCCCATTGTCTTCCTAAGCCTCTGTTTCCAAATTTTAGCTCAGCGCCTGGTGCACAGTAAACCCTCAGTAACTGTAAGCCACTGTTTTATCATGCTCTAAACACTTCAACGAAGGCTAGTGGACTATGTATACGCTATTTTAAAATGTTTACACTAATGAAGCATGTGGCTAAAATACACTGAAACGGAATAAACTCTGGGATACATTTTTATTCTTCTATTTGAATAAGAGAAAACCTGGTCTTGCTGGAATTCACATAAATCTTAAATATAAAGACAATTCTTCCACAGAATTCCTACTCAACCCACAGCTCCTTGGGGCCTCATCAACCTCCCAGATTCTCCAGGAGGCTCTCACTAACCTCGACAGTCTCTTGGTTCTGAAAATAATAATCTTCTCTATCCTCCCCCCTTTATCTCCTTCACGGCGCCCAGGACCAAAAACTACCAAGTAATGCTGGCCACAGGTACCTAGCACTTTCCCCAGGGCCTACAGCCCCTCAAGGTTCTTTCTCTCACAGGCAAAGTTTCCCCATAGTAACATACAGTAAAAGGTAAACTAGGCAGTTCCAGATAAATCATGAGTAACTCAACTGCCCCTGAGGCATTTCAGTGTCCTGCCTTTCCACGCAGGCCACTCTCCCAATCTCAGACTTCCTCCTCCTCCTCTCTGCAGTCAAAACAGGGTGCCAGGAAAGATCTGATCTCCAGTACGGGACTGATAATCTTCCCTAGAATTTCTCATCCGGCTGACTACTGAGCCCTAAGCCTGTGATTGTCCAGGCTGGCTGCATCAGAATTACCTGTGGAGTTTTAAAAACTATACCTGAGCTTATGGTATGAAGCGCTGGGGCAAGAGGGGCTGGGCTATTCCCCAACTAGTTTTTAAAAGCTCTGTAGGGTGAATCTGATGTGCAGGCAGGAACGACCGCGACTGCTGTACTCAGTGATCAGCACGGCTGTGGAACAAGCATTTATTTAGGAAGGGCCAAAGGGACTTTCTGGGATCCTTAGATTTATGCCAGCCTGGCAGCTGCCTCCCATAAAGCTACGCTTCCTGCCTGTCCCACCTACACACCAATTTAGAGAAGTGACAGGTATTTCCACAGTACTAAGACTGGGAAGGTTACCTCGCTAGATACAGAGTTTGATAGGCCACAGACACGTTTCATCTGAGTCAAAATTTCACTATGTGCTCCCAAGCAGAAAGAAAAATAGAGGAAATGCAATCAGAATACAATATACACACAATCAGTAATGATCCACATTGTCTACCAACACATACAGCCCTGTCCGTAAGTGTTCCACAAGAATTTGTGGAATGAACCAATGACCAACAGGAGTTTAAACTCCCAAGTGCTCTTCATGGAAATATAGTTTACTAAAAAAAAAAAGTTACTTGCTGGGAATCAAGTAATAGGAGAGACAATAGTCACTAAAGGCCACAGAGATGAAAGTCGACGAAAACCATCCTTGCTAACTCTACTAATCAGCGAAACTAAACACTGGAAAGTCGCGGGGAAGAGCTGCGTAGCTGAATTGAATTGGTAGCATATGATAAAGACTAGAAAGTGCCTGCGAGAATATCAACTTTCTCCTCAAAAGCAGAACCCCTGGTCTACTTAGGGAATACACAAGCAAGAAGTGTTAGGTCAGCAAAAAGACATCTTTGGCTGGGGGACCCACGAATCTGGCTCCTAGGGATTCTCCTACGGAAAAAGGATCACAATACAGAGAACAATTTACAAAAAATTATTGCTGTCCTGCTAGCCTAAGCATCTGACATGTAAAACACGGAAGAATGTGACCACTTCACGGAGCGCTCACAGTGAGAAAGGTTGGTGTTTTCTATTCCCAGAACTCCACGCTTATAACAGAGCGAGATTACAAAATCACATAGAACTATACAGGCATTCACTGTTCAACCAACATGTTATTGTCTCTCAATCTGGGAAGGCCCCCAAATTACAGAAACACAAAAATTCTGCTGCCCATAAGAGGAAAGACAGATTGTTCTAGGTAGCAGGCAGAGTTGCTTTTCAACAGAGCTTTTGAATTACCCTGATCCAACTATACACTTGCTCCGTGCCTCCAACAGCAATGGTTAATGGCAGTTTACACGCTGTTACACGGCTTTAGGGATGTAATCTACAGACGCGTCACCAAGCCAGCCCACTCCACCCAGGGCCTACTTTACCCTTGTCTAACAAGAGCTGAGGCTGCTGGGACCTTGCCCAAATCACCAAAATCTCCCAGGCTTTCAAACTCCTGTTTTTCTCATCCATATGATGGAGTTAATACTCTTACATATATTACATCTACAAATTCAAATAAAAATAAATATATTTTTAAAAAACCAAAACTGCTTTGTAAATGATAAAGTTATAGTACATTAGTCAACCGGTCGGCTTGGCAGAAGACTGTATCTATGACATAAAACCAACATCCAAGGACATATATAATGTGTCATGAAAATCTGTTAATAAGATAAATACACAGGAAATGACTGTGAAATATAAAAGGCAAGTAAAGCAACGCACTACAAATTGTAGACGGGTAGAATTCTTCAGTATTGTAGGAGTTAGAATAAAATACTACTTGAACCTTATGGAAAATCACTAGTGATTTTTTTTTTTTAATGCCAATTTTACACATGCCTTCACAAGCCTTTAAGACCAATGTGTTCTTTTGGGGTGATACTGGGGTTCAAACTCAGGACCTTGTGCTTGCCAGGCAGGCACTTGTGCTGCTGAGCTATATCCCCGGCCCCTTTAATGTGTTGTTTAATGATTAATTATGTGCACAGTCCACTTTACGAATACTTCAACGCAAACACTTTTTACTTGTATCTATTTCATTCCCAAATGCCCGGATCAACACGGCCCTCCATATACCCACATTCTTATTTACACAGAGTAGAAAGGAATGGAAAAACCCACTAAATCCACAGCTATCCACCACTACAAAGACAAAGCAAAAGGAAACAAAATTAAAAGCAAATATTCCTTTTCCAAATACAAACTAGTTCAGAAGAATCTGAAGTTCAGTGTTCAAGCTTGCAGTTAGCCAACATAATATCTCTTTCAAGAAAACACAGGAGGAGGACTACATCCAATTATATCTAACCAAAACCTTGCTGTGGACTGCTTATGTTAAAATGTACATCATATAGGTGGACCTGAACTAACTTTAAAAATTCAGTTTTGCAGCACGGAATTTGTCCAACGTAATCTGTAGTTGTGAGTGAAAATACTGTGTGAGAGTATTTTTGTCTCTTGGAGACTTAGCATAATTCTCGCAGCAAGAAATCCTGCACAATGTTTACAAAACTTTAGAAATCGAAGTTATATTTTCAGTTGACTTAGACTCGTTTTTATCTTTCATCTCTCCCTTAAAATCTTTTTTAAAGTAAGTACATCTGCCCTAAATTCCTTCCTTAGCAAACATAATAGTTTCTTGCAGCAAAACCACACTAGCATATAGGTAGTCCTTGTTTTTAAAGATTATGTAACTTCTTTCTAAACAATGCCAGTGTCACTAAACCACAGAAATGAAACTTCCAGGCTTTCATCTGTTATCAAAGATGGAAATTATTTCTCAGGTTGCTGACAAATGCATCTCAAAGAGCGCTTTTTCTGACTGAATTAAATACAATTACCAAATAGCAAACATTTCATGCTAAACCAAAGCGAACCGGCGAGTCATGCCAAACACAGAACAGAACGATCTCAAGTAGAAGCAAAGCAAGGACTAAATGAATTGTTTAAAGGTGTTAACTTTTCTCACTCCCTGAATAGTTTCCAGATCGTAGTGAAGTGTGATTTTCCAGATCCTGGACCCTGTGAAGGGGTTCTATCCAGAAAAAAATACCGACTTCTATAGAGAAAAAAAAAAAGTATACATACATATATATATATATAAAACATTATATATTACACATTACGTATGTAATTATCTGAGCTCCTGTTCTGAAAAGCCTTCAGTAATCCCCAGTTTAAACTCAGGAAACTCGAGGCAACACCACCGCGCACCGCCGCTGCCCACCTGCCCCACCGTTCTCGCTCCCCTCTCCACTGTGCAGCTCAGGACCCAGGGGGAGGGACTGTCGGAACGGACTGTCCAGGGATAAACGCTATCAATGAGAAGTAAGCTGCCCCGAAGTTGCGCCCCACTCCCGTACGTACGGCCGGAGGACGGTCCGCCCACTCGCGTCGCAGACGGGGAAGCGCGGCGCGGCGGGGCCGCGGGGAGACGCTGCGATCGGACGCTGCGATCCGATCCGCGGGCGGCGGCTCCTCCGCCCCGGGGAGTCCACCAACGGCCGGCTCCTCCGCCGGCGCAGGAGAGGCAGGTCTGCCGCTCGCGGGGCGCGGACACACAAAGCGCGGCCGCCCCGCAGCGCTCAGGCGCGCAGCATCTCCGCGAGAACGCCGGGCGTGGG